ATTTTGTAAATTTAATAAAAATTTTAATAAAAAATTTATCGAATAAAAAAAAATTACTCATTCTTAAAAAAAAAAAAAAGAAAAATTGATGAAATTATGGATCATTTCTTTTGCTAGACCGGATTTGATACTTTTTCTTTTTGTTTTATCAATCTTGTTTATTTTATCTCCTCTTATATTTTCATTTTTGAGCATTTTTAAAAATTCAAATAAGAAAATCTTGCATTTGCCATATTTCCCCGGTTATTACGGGATATCTCAGATAGTAGCTCAGATTTATTTGTTCAAGCATTCATTATCGATTTATCTCGAAGGATGATACTTTAAGCTAATTCAAGCTTAGCTTTATTTTACTTCGGTATATATGTTTAAATATTTCGAAAAAAAAAAAAAAGATGAAAGAGTTAGCCGCCCCTGATGAGGTAGTGTTGATAATGCGCGAGGATGCTGAAGATAGGTGGTGATATTTGGATGATGGTGATGAGAGAAATGTAGGAATGGGATGAAGAGAGATTGAGGATAGGGAAAAATTTGGAGATAGTAAAGGAAATGATGAAGAAACGGATGGTGACACAAAGGTGACAGAGATCAATGGATGGGTGGACAGCTCCGCCTTATGGTACCGCCTTCGAAAAACCGAATAATTGCAACGAACTGTCCGCCGTCAGTTCACCCAAACCGACAGGCACAATTGAGACGGGAAATTGCTGCTATTCGAATAGGATGTCGAGGAATTGGTCCTTGCGCAACTTTTCCTAACTTATTTTTATCCTTATCATATAGGTTTGGGGACATTTTTACCGGAAAATTTTCCGGGAATTTCACAATTTGGAAAAGGTATAAGTTAATAAATGAAAATAAGAGTAATATTTTTATAAATAATTATTTAGGAAAAAAATTATGTATTGGATTTCAAAAAAAAAAAATTTTTTTTTTTGGATTAAATTTAATCAATAATTTTTGATATATTATTTCTTATTTGCTTAGTCTTTTTTTTTTCGTTTCATGTAAATTTTGGCTTTTTTAAAATTTCAAAAATAATTTAAATTTAATTATTTAATTCTTATGAAAATGATTTAGGCTGTTTAATTTTAATGAAATTTATATTTTTTCAACTTGAAAAAAAATCATCAATGATTTTTGTGTTTTATTTTTGTTTGTTTTGTTTTGTTTAACTTAGTTTTTCTTGTTTCTGACCAAATAAGTTTTGAAAAGTTGTATAGTAGTTATTGGGCGGATATGTATGTATGTATATATAAGCTTCTCGACTTCAAGTAATTAATTTCTAGATCAAATAATCAAATTAAAATTAGACAATTTAATAAATACGAAGCAATCGACAGAGGTAAAATTTTCGTTGATTTAATTTAAAAATTTCATAAATTTAAAAAACAAAAATTTTTCTTTTTGAAATTTTTTCTAAATCGAAGATTTCAAATTTAAACTTTCAATTAAAATTTCTATAAATATTACATAAGAAAATGAGCAAATTGAAGGAAATAACATGCAACATTTTTAGCTTATGAAAATTTACAATGAGATTTTGTAGGCTTATTTGGGACATAGAGGCCGCATTAAATCCATGTTGTTTTTGTCTTATTAATCCGTGGCATTTGACGGAAGTAACAAGTAATGAAGGTGGAAGAGAGTAAGATTTGATTGGGGTCAAAGTGATTACGTTTTTCGCATAGGGTCGTATAGGTCATTTGTAACTTAACCTTTATGAGATATATTTATAATTTGGGAAAAAAAAGGAAAGGATGAGATTTTATGAAATTAATTACTACAATTATAATATAATTGTAGTAATCAATATCTCATGATACCATTTAGTTTTAAAGCTTTTTTTTTTTTTTTGCAAATACCAAATTTATTTTGTTTTATTTTTCACTATTTATGGATGATTTTTTTATTTTTATAAATTAATACTGTCAATTATCATCTTCTAATAAATGTCATTTGTTAAGAATTTATTAAAGATTAGATTAAAAAAAAATTTTTTGCTTTTCAAAAATATCAGAAATCATTAAATAATAATTTGTTTCCTTCCCTCTTACTTTTCCCTTTCTTTTTTTCCTATTTAAGTTTCAAAATAAATTAAAATGGACAAAATGTAGTGGGATATTAAGCAAGCAATTATTATTGCTTTATTCATATACAAACTGGTCAAATAAGCATGTATAATAATTGAAAACTTTTTTTTAATTTCTATCTTTAATAAATTTAATAATTTCAAGAATAATTTTAACAAACATTGTATTATTCTTTATTCCCTACTACAGTATCTTCCCATTTTAGGCATCAAAAATGCCTAAGGTAGTAATGAATTAAAATTCAGCTAACTTCGCATACCAAAAAAAAAAAATTTCTCTTGTATATAAACATTTTATCTCATGCATCGATATTATCAGTCGGAAATATTTCAATCCCGAAAAATCCCAAAAATCCCATAAAATCCCGTTAAATCTCGAAAACTTTCAAGTAAATTGGAAAATATTCAACCGTAACATTCATTTTTAGTAGCAATTGATTTGAGCGGATGCCATTTGTTAACCAACATCATACAAATTTCTTTCAAGAACAAGCAATTAAAATCTTTTTTTTTTTTTTTTACTTTATAATAAATGGTCAAACATAATGGTCATCAGAGATTTTCAATTTAATTTTAGTTAATCGAATATTCAAGTATTTTTCCCCAAATTTCTACAATTTCATGCTTTTTCTTTCAATCAAATGATAATGACAATCACTATTTCTGAATACATTCTTCATCAAATTTCACGAAAATACGAAATCAAGTATTTGTGGATTCCTGTATTTTTATCATTTTTTTCTTTTTTTTATTTAAATTGTTTCTCCATTTTGATTACAAAATGATATTATCATTGTTGTTACTGTTATTGTTTGTTGTTGTTGTTGTTATTTGTTGTTGTTGTTTGTTTGTTTGTTTGTTATTGTTGTTGTTTGTTATTGTTGTTGCTGTTGTTTGCTGTTATTGTTGTTGAATGATTTACTGTATGAAAATCAAATAGATATAATTAAGTACTCATCATCACAACTGTTTATCTAAACTTTATTACATCAAAACTGTAATTATGATAGTATTATTGGTGATATTTGTTTGGCAAAAAGATTTTGGCAAGTGAAATGAGTTTTTATGGTGGATTTTGATTCTAATATTATGTTAAAATAATCAGAATTGATCAGTATTCGATTAGGTTTCAATTAGGTACTGATTAATTATTATAGAAATTTTCAATTTTCATAGAATCATGTAATTTTAAATTGAAATGAAAAAGCGACATCGGAACAAATGATCAATTATTATTTTAATAATTTCGATAATTTCAAAAATATTGCAAATGAAAACGAACTATCTCATGTGCCTTTTTTCCGAAACAATTTATTTGAATTTAAAATTTTCTGTGAATTTTTGTCACAAATTTTCTATTTAAATTGATACATTTAATAATTGTCTTGTATTTCCCGAATTGCATGAATTTGGTGAAATAACGAAGAAATACAAAATAAAATAGGAAATCTGCTTTAATTTTTGAAATTTTGCTTTCTTTTTTTTAATACTTTATTTCAAGAAATGTTTATATCAAAGTTATCCCGTTCAAAAGAGAATCATTAATTTCTTTTCGTTTAAAAATCATACATGTAAACATCATCATCATCATCATCATCGCCATCATTATCATCATCATCATTATCATCATCATCATTATCATCATCGTCGTATCATCATCATTATCGTCATCATTATCTTATCCAGTTTCATTGTATTGTAAATTTAGCATGATGTAGTTGAGCGTGACATATTTATATGCTTGTCATTCGGTAAAGTTCAGAAAAAAAAAAAAGGAAAAGAAAGGAAGAAGGTTAGAGTAATAGCATCTATTGTCATCAGCTGATGACAAGGAAATAGAATAAGTGGAATAACCTACATCATTGTCAATTATATATTATTCAAGAAGTAGAAAATACCAATGATAGACAGAGAGATATTTCTACTTTTAACCTATTACTACTTATAACTCTGTTTTCTTTCTGTTTGTTTCTCACCTATACCATTTAATAGCCAATCTCTTCAACCTATTATCCCTATTTGAACGTTGACCTTTTTCCATTGATCCCTTTCATTCTCATTCAATCATCTTGTTCTTTTTGCTTTTTCCTATTTTCATTTTCATTTTCATTTATATCTAAAATATTTGTATAAATATATATATGAAAATCATTTCATTTATTTTGAATTCATCCTTTTATTCCTAATCTATTTTATTGTTCTCTCATTTCTTTTCCTCTTTTTGCTATTAGAGGTTTCTTTTTCTTTTTTTTTAAATTTAAATAAGTTGATAATTATATTCGTTGTTTATTTTATTAATTTAACAATAGAAATTTTTTTAATTATTAATTAATGTAATCCAAAATAATAAAAGATATACAAATGGAGAAAGGAGAGTTTTTCCTCTTTTTTTTTTTGTGTGATTTTCAAAAATAATAAGTAATCTTATTAATTATTAATCGATTTATTGATCTCTTTCTTTTTTATCTTACTGTAATTTTACTAACAAAATTTCCTTATTTATAAAGTGGAATTTCTTTTCCTATCGTTTAACAAATTCTAATTCTATTCAATATATGTATGGTGAGAGAGAGAGAGAGAGAAGGAGAGAGAGAGAGAGAGAGATTAAAGCTACTAATTAAAACAACTTAATTTATTAGTCAAAATTGCGAAACTGCATATCGTTTTTAAAGGATTCTGTGAAAATTTAAAAAAAAAAGGAAAAAGGAATAGGATGAAGAAAAGTTTGTTGAAATTTTTAAAAATTTTTAATTGATAACTTGTAAAATTCAAGCATTTTCATTT